GCTCCAGACCAGGGCGTCCCCGACGCCCTGGTCTGCATCCCCCCATATAGACTCCAACCACACATGGAGAGAGAAATCCCAGTGGTCAAAGCAGGGTTCAGGAAAGGAAGGGGCAGCAGGGATCACATTGCAAATATACGATGGCTAGTGGAGAGTAGCAGGGAGTTCTAAAAAGAAAACCAGCATGTGCTTTATAGACTATAGCAAAGCCTTTGACTGCATCAATCATGAAAGGCTATGGAATGCCCTTAAAGCCAACACATCTGATAGTCCTAATGAGGAATCTCATTAGTCTCAGGACAAGAGACTACTGTCAGAACAGAACATGAAGAAACAGAATAGTTCCCAATTGGCAAAGGGGTCAGACAAGGCTACATCCTATCACCTTACCCAGGGGTAGGCAACCTTTTTGAGCCAGGGGCCGGGTTGCTGTCCCTCAGACAATTGGGGGGCCGAAGCACCAAAAATTAATAAATACATTAATTAATAAATTTAAATTTAAAATTTAAATTTTTTTTAAATAATATGAATGCACACTCTCTCAGCCCCAGAAAAGCCATGGCAAAACCCCTGTGGAGATTTGCCAAGAAAACCCCAAGAACAAGTAATAACAACAATAATCAATATTAACATGGCAGGCAGCAGTGGCAGCGGCCGCAGGACTGGCCTGGGGCCGGTCCAAAGGCCTTGGGGGGGGGGCGCATCCGGCCCCCGGGCCTTAGGTTGCCTACCCCTGACCTTACCTATTCAAGTTACATGCACAACATATTGTAAGGAAAGCAGCCTTGGACATGAAAGAGGGAGGAGTGAAAATAGGAGGAAGGAATATCAACAAATAGGAGGAAGGAATATCAACAAACACCATAATACTAGCAGAAAACCTCACAGACCTGGAACAACTACTAAGGAACACCAAAGAAGAAAGTGCAAAGGCAGGTTTACTGTTGAACATAAAGAAAACAAAAATAATGACCATAGAAAACTTATACACATTCAAACTAGACAATGAGGAAATAGAAATAATAAAAGAGTTCTCATATCTGGGATCAAACATTGATTGGAACGGAGACTGCAGCCAGGAAATCAGAAGAAGATTAAGAATGGGGAGGGTGGCTATGAAAGAACTAGAAAAGATCCTAAAATGCAAAGATATACAACTCAGCACAAAAGTTAGAATCATACAAGCCATCGTATTCGCTATTACCATGTATGGATGTGAGAGCTGGACAGTCAAGAAAGAAGAGAGGAGGAAAATCAACGCATTTGAGAGAATGTGGTGCTGGAGAAGAGTCCTGAGGATCCTATGGACAGCTAAAAGGACAAACAAATGGGTCCTAGAGCAGATCAAGCCAGAAGTATCCCTAGAAACCAAGATGACAAAACTTGACTGTCGGACTCTGGACACATCATGAGAAGATATGAATCATTGGAAAAGACAATAATGTTAGGAAAGGTAGAGGGAAGTAGAAAGAGGGGAAGGCCACATGCTAGATTGATGGACTTTATTAAAGAGACCACAAATAAGTTTGCAGGAGCTGGGGAGAGCAGTAGAGGATGGGTGTGTGTGTGGAGATATCTCATCCGTAGTGTCCATGGGAAAGCAGTTTACAGCAACAAACAACAAAGCATTCATTAGCACCATCCCAGAAAGAAGCATCTGACAATGTGTGCCTATTTATTTTTAATTATTAGCTATAGTCTGCCTCTCCTCAAATAAACTTAAGTGGGATACCTGACCGTCTCCCTTTCCCCTTTATCCTCACAACAAGTCTGTGAGGGAGGATAAGCTGAAAGAAAGTGATTGACCCAAGGTGACCCAACAAACTACATGACTGAGTGGGGGCTTGAACCTGTTTCTCCTAGGTCTCAATCCAGCACATTGGGCCTATAAAATATTTTGATCCAGTACACTTGTGAGAATGCCATCCTTTGCATGTTTAGTCATAGCTTTGTTTCACCTTATCCCAATAAAGCAGCAGTTCTAAACACACTTATTAGGGAATGAGCCCCATAAAACACCAGTGAGATTTTTGAGCACACCACTAGGACTGAGTCTTTGGCCTCATTCCCACTCACATTGAAACCGGTTTGCGATTCGTCTTTGCTCCATGTCAGTGAATCGTTTCCAAAAGATCCATCGTTCCCACTATGAAAGCGGATCTTTTCATTATTCCCTTGTAA